TCTCAAAAAAAAAAAAAAAAAAAAAAAAAAAAAAAAGTACTGCACTCTATCTTTGTTATTTAGAGTTAGCCTAGATTGTTGATTTCTTTAGCAGTGCATTTATTATAGAAAATATAAAGCACACTGCTTAATTAAAGGCCTGTTTGTCAATATACCAATATTCTGTGTTTAGATAGTAGTTTGTGCTTTTTGGAAACTTTTTACATGTGGTCAAACCCAACCATTATGTGGCAATTGGGATCTTAAATCCAATCATGTTAAATGCAGAGTCACATTATTGCAGGGTTAATGAAGCGGTTAGAATGAGCCTACGCAGCTAGTAGTCCATAGTTCTTGGGGATTCCACTCTATAGTCCAACCTCACTCTGGTTCCAGTACAGTTTGCCCCTTGATGAATGGTTAGCCACTCCAGCTTAATTATCCATGAGGTGATTTTGCATCTTCTAGTTGGCTGGAACTTGCAAGACTGGAACAGTGATTTCTGCATCTCTAAACTAGCCAAGCACATTTCCTCAGCCAACCCAGACAGAGAAAATTGAGCCAGAGGAATTCTAAAAGTCAGGAACCCATTCTCTGTTTTCATATCCTGCCTCCTTTTTTTCCAGATGACAAGACCTTTAGCCTGCCCCATTGCAGAATGGGGCCCTAGCGGAGGATGGGAACCAATTGGGTTAGAGCTACAGTTCCATCATTAGAGGATTTAAATTACTCAGAATGAGATCCTACTACACATACTGAAATTGTTAAAGTTAAAAACACTGAGAATCCAAAGTGTTGAAATGAGTGTGGAGCAACTAGAATCTCATACAGTACTAGTGAGAATGTAAAAGGATCAAGTCACTCTGGAAGAATATGGCAGTAACTTTTCAAGTTAAACATACATTTATTATGTGACCATTTTTACATATGTATTTTCCTTGGACAGTTGTATGCAAAAGTTCATGGCAGCTTTATTCACAATAGCGAAAAATTGAAAAGAAACCAAATGTCCATCAACTGATGAGTAGATAAATTGTAGTATATTCATTCATTGAATATTCACTGAAATAATACTCAGTAATAAAAAGAGAATTAAATATTAATATATGCAAAAAATAGGTGAATCTTGAAAATGGGCTAACTGAAAGAAGCCAAATACCAAAGACTCCGTAATCATACTTTATTATTCTATGTGTATAATATTCTTAAAAAGACGAAACTGTAGTGACAAAGTAAATCACTGCTTGGGGAGGATAGGTGTCAGTTGAGGGGATCAACTACAGATGGGCATAAGAAAACTTTTTATGGTAATGGAACTGTTTTATATTTTGATTGTGGTGTTGGCTATAAGACCATGTACAATTGCCACATTCATATAACTGTATACTTAAAAGTGAGTGTATTTAAAAAAGATAAACGTAGGCTCTTATGTTCTACTGTAACGTAAATTTCAATATTATCAAAACTTTAAGCTATTATTCAGACTATTGTGTTTTCAAAAGATTTCCATATATAAATGAAAAAGACATTTTTTATATTTTAATTCTCTGTAGTTATCAAAAATAAAGTTCCAAAGAAAAGTTCTGAAAATAAAATTATATATATGGAGAACTTGTTTTAGGTCTTTTGCCTTTATGTCTTTTGGGTAATTTTACTCCTAAGATTTTTTAATATTTACATTACCTGTATTTACCCTATGTAGTGACTATTTCTAGATCTTTACTGGCAAGTTTCATTAGGCGTTCTAATCTTAATCAGTACTGTTAGTAATAGTGCAGAGGTGTTGTTTAAGAAACTAAAGCAGTTGTATTTGTTTCTGTTTAAAAGACACAAAATTCAGTAAAGATAAAACTCTGTGTATGCAACATATAAATGATTCAGTACAGTATTTTCCAAGGGTGAAGTTTGCATACATTGTCATACTACTAATGCAGTAGTGCTTTATGGAAGGGATGTTAGTAGTCCTGAGATCTTCTATTTTCCTATAATATAAAAGTTTTCAGAAACTGTGAAAGAAATCTAGTATAGGAGACAAAATTGAAAATTAGATAGCCTCTTTTAGGTCATGAATATCATTATAGAAATAGTTTTATTGCCTTAAAAAAACTGTTTAAGAGGAAAAAGCCTGTAATTGAGCTAATATAGATTTTTAAAAAATAAAATTAAAGGCAGTAGTGATTCTCTGATAGCTAATATAAAAGTATTTACTTGGCCTGGTGTGGCAGCTCACACCTGTAACCTCAGCACTTTGGGAGGCCAAGGCAGGTGGATCACCTGAGGTCAGGAGATTGAGACCAGCTTGGCCAACACAGTGAAACCCCATCTTTACTAAAAGTGCAAAAAATTAGCTGGACGTGGTGGTGTATGCCTGTAATCCCAACTACTTGGTAGGCTGAGGCAAGAGAATTGTTTGAACCCAGGAGGCAGAGGTTGCAGTGAGCCAAGATCACACCTCTGTACTCCAGGCTGGGCAACAGAGCAAGACTCCATCTCAAAAAAAAAGTAATAATCAAATCAAATCAAATCTTAGTTCTTAAAGATGAATTTGATTTTTATGGTTCAAAATAATGGAGATAAAGAGGTTTAAACTTCAAAGCATTTTATCAAAGACTGATGTCTCTTTGGCGTGTACTTAAAAGTTTGTAGTAAACATTAAGGTCATAAAATATTATGTCCTCAGCAGTATGTGTTTGTCCTATGGTATAGAATACTTAAGTTTCTGTAACTGTCCTTTAACATAATTTTTGTGCCATATGAAAAGGAAACTTTCTACCTACTATGTATCATAATTGAGCATAGAGTCATATGATTACTCATTTGATGTATGATTATCATATGATTATATCATTATTGTGGTAACACCTGATAATATGATACAGTTCTATATGTAGTTTTTTTTCTTCTTCCTCTGCTCTCTATATGTTCTTTTTAAGGCACTTACCTTACTGTGCTACTTAAAAATCACTTATGTGATATGTGGAATCACACTTTTATAGAATTAAAATAATATAACTATAGACTGTCCTTGACTTACTATAGTTAACAACTTATAATTTTTCAACTTTACAGTGGTGTGAAAGCAATACTCCTTCGGTAGAAACCGTACTTCAAGTACTCACACAGCCATTTTGTTTTTTACTTTCAGCACAGTGGTCAGTAAGCTACATGAGATAGTCAACACTTTATTGCAAAACAGGCTTTGCATCATATAATTTTGCTCAACTGTAAGCTAATTTAAGTGTTCTGTGCATGTTTAAGGTAGGCTAGGCTAAACTGTGATGTTCGGTTGATTAGGTATATTAGATGCAATTTTGGCTTACCATATTTTCAATTACAATGAGTTTCTTGGGGTGTAACCCCATCATAAGTCAAGGAGCATCTGTATGTATTTAATTTATATTGGTTTTTGCTTTACTGTGTAGAAAGAGTAATGAGGGCAGAGATTTACAGTTGCTGAGTTCAGAATATTGATTTCTTTTTTTTGCTACAAAGAAGCTTAAAATAAAAAGACCTAATGTTGTAACAACTTGCTTGGTACTAGCAGCACTATATTAAAACCACCACCAGTTGTTCTATATTGCATTAATTGTACCGTACTTTATTTAAACTTAACAAAAGTACCTGTTATGTACCAGGTACTATACAAGGCACTAGCACTGCTACAGTATATAACAGAATTCCTGTTCTTATCAAGTTTATACCCTACTGGGGGATATTTAAAATTGAACGGACAGTTTCAGGTTAATGTGATAAGTGGTATAATAGAGAGGTGCAAGGTTCAGTGAGTGCATATAGCAGAGACTCTGTAATCATACTTGGTACGATCAGGAGTAGGCTTCTCCAGGAAGCAGATACCTGGAAAATAAATAGAAGTTAAATAGACTGATAAGAAGATTAGGGCTGCATGCAAAGGAAAAAGCCAGAGGTATGATACACTAATAAATACAACTACGTTACTTTCTATGAGTAGAATGTAAAAGTTCTAGATGGCTTGTGGAGAGGCAAGAAAGTTACAGAGAAACTTGAAAACCGTACAAGAAGTTTGGGCTTATGGTGAGGCCAGTGAGGGACCACTGAAGGATTTTAAATGAGGAAGTGACAGGATCTAATTAGATTTTTAGATCTTTTTGCTGCCTTATGGAGAATGGATTGCGAGGAGGAAGTGGGATGTGGGAGAGACTGAAGACTGGGGACCACTGTAAACTAGACATCAGTAGTCTCATATAGAGCAGCAATGAGCAAGTGCCTCTATTCTTAAATTGCCCAAGTCTGAATTAAGTGAAGTAGAATGACAGTGGATACTAGAGTTCCTGTAACTGGGCCAGAAATGGGAGTAGATATTCTTACTTTCACTGATGGCTCCTCTCATTTGATACATCCAGGTTTCATTCTATTCTATTAATAGTCCCATGGTAGACGTGAGGTGAGACTCCTACATATAAAAGCTTGTACAATATTATGATTTTGTTGACCTCTCTGGCCAACTTATAACTGATTTTATCTTTTGGTTTTTAACATTTGTTTTATTTGGGATGTTAAGCATTACATCTTAGGTAGGATATTGAATACTCTTTTTGGTAATTTTATGAAATTTTATTTACAGGTTCAGAAAGTGCTTCCCCAGTCCATTCACCTCTGGGCTCCAGGTCACAGACACCTTCCCCTTCCACGTTGAATATAGATCACATGGAACAGAAGGATCTGCAGCTTGATGAGAAGCTCCACCACTCTGTTCTTCAGACACCAGATGATCTAGGCAATATTTTGAAATTAGATATTTGCCTTTTTTCTTTTAAGGCGTCAGTGTCAAGAGATCATAAATAAGGCATCTTACAGTTGATTATATGTGATTATAAATATTTTTGGCTTTTCTAATAACTTTTTTCTTGTTCTTAAAGATATTTATTGTCTGAGTTTTACTCATTTTATTATAATTGATTACGGTCCCCAAATTAGTGATTGCATTATTTTCCAGTATTATGTTATCATTTATTGATATTGATAGTGTTTCTTAAAACAGGAAATACATGATTTGTTATCATTATTCTTAGTTTTATACCTGACAAACCTAGTGATTCATAGGAGAAAGTAGTAACATTATCACTTGTTATTCAAGCTTTCAGTGAAACAGTTTATCAAACAAATTTTTTTGATTCAGTAAATTTATCAACTAAATTTAATTTAAAAGTAGAGGTCCAAATGAATGTTTTTAGGTAAATGTTAAAAAATGACTTGGGAAACCTAAGTAACTGCAAGTTTTTTTAAAGTTATTTTTGCTAGATTTTGCATGATGTAGCAAGCGTCAGACATTTTGCAAATATGCCATAAACTTAGGTTAAAGACAGTTACTGAGATATTTACAGTGAATAAAATAAAAAGCTAGTTTTCATTGGCAAGGCAGCACATTTATTCTCTGACCAAAGGAAGAAATTTAAAGCTACGTAACTTCGGAACTTTTTTTAAAAGGCCCATTTCTGTTAAAGTTTTTTGTAGAGGTGAAGTTTCGCCATGTTGCCCAGGCTGGTCTCAAGCTCCTGAGCTTAAGCAATCGACCTGCCTCGGCCTCCCAAGGTTACAGGTGTGAGCCACCACACCCGGCCCAAGGGGCCCATTTCTTTACATGCAATTACCTTGTAATTATGTAGCCCTAATCTTCTGGTTTGTGGATTATTTCTGACCTTTTCTTTTTCTCCCTTAGGTCTGCAATTGTTTATTTGTTTACAGTTCTTTCCCCAACATTTGGAAAACAACTTAAGAGTTATAGAAGAGTTTCAAGGCTAGTAAAATAAACACATATAAATCCTTTATATAAATTCTAGTTAATATTTTGCCACTTTGTCTATATTTACACACAGCACATACATGCACAAAATACCCTGCTCTTCACACACATCCCCTGCACCTTTTATTTTTGCTGAGGCATGTAAGAGGAAATTGCAAATATCAGATCCTTCAGACCTAAACACTTGAGTGGATATGTCTCAATAATAAGTGTATTTTTCTGGATAACCACAATATAGTGGCCACATTCATGATATTTAACATAGGTACATTGCTGTTATTTTAGTCTATAGTCATAGGTTCTCAGTTGTCCCAGTAATGGCCTTTTTAGCTAACCTACACCATCAATAATCCAATAAAGAACTTAATCAGGCCAGGGCACAGTGGCTCACACCTGTAATCCCAGCATTTTGGGAGGCAAGGCAGGCGGATCACTTGAGGTCAGAAGTTCAAGACCAGCCTGGCCACATGGCAAAACCTTGTCTCTACTAAAAATACAAAAATTAGCCAGTCATGGTGGTGTGTGCCTGTAATCCTAGCTTCTCGGGAGACTGAGACAGGAGAATTGCTTGAGCTTGGGAGGTGGAGGTTGCGGTGAGCTGAGGTCGTGCCACTGCACTCCAGCCTAGGTGACAGAGTAAAACTCTGTCTCAAGGCAAAAAAAAAAAAAAAGAATTTAATCAAAGACTACACATGTTGCTTGCCTTTTAATCATTTAAAATTTTGTTAGCTTTGAGAAGGATAAGTTAAATGCAAATCAGTTGATTTATCTTTGTATTATGAAGGTGCTCTGGAGTAGGGAGGCATTAATAACAATGGTTAACACTTCAGTGTGTTTTGTTTGTTTTAGTGGCTTTACACAAGAAATCTATTTTTTTTTTATAATGGAGAAAGACTAGTACCTTTTTAATAATGCAGTCAGTTATTATATACTTTATATGCAAAGAGAAAAAAATTAACCATTAGGAATAAAGAATGTACATGTGCTAAGAATTAAGTTATTATGAATTCTCAATATGTTAAAATGTTATCAAGCATGATAAATTATAAGTCTACGGTTTTTTTCATTCTACAAAATTTTAGTTCTCAAAGTTCTTTAAATGCTTGGATATCTGTATTGACTTTTAATGATTTTCTATAGCCTTTTCCATTATTTACATTATATATGTTGAGTAGAAAAATTGATTTTTTTTTAAAGCTGGAGGCAACCTATAAAGATATCTAGCAAAACCATCTATTTTACAGATGAGGAAATGTATCCTTAGAGAGGTTATTAAATAATTTGTATAACACATAATTAGTAGCAGAAATGAGACTAGGACGAAGGTTACTTATGTTTCTTAAAATCTTGCCAGTATTAGTAGGCAGAATACAATTATGGTATTTTGATTATGTTTAAATTGTAGCTAAAATGTTTATTTTTCATGACATTTGATACTCTTAATGCTAGGCCTTGAATATGAAATATATAAAAATATTTCTTTGGAGGCTATAGCTACAAAGAAAAGGCTTATGAAGACTTCCTGCAGGATCTGCCTTCAGCCTGAGATTTTCTATTAATTTGATGATATATTAAATTATATATTTAATTAGAAGTAGCTGTTAGGTAAAAGTGAGAATATGTGCTTATAAATTTGATGTTTTTATCAAACATAGATTTCTCTATCTGGCATAGATAGAAATTTCTCCATCTCCAAAGTGAGCAGTAGTTACACAGAAGCACTATTAAATAACTAGTTGTTAATGTAAGATTTATCTTATATAATTTCTTATTATTATCTTATTATAATGAGTGAGATTTTGACCTTGTCAGGAAAAAATATCAGGAAAAAATAATGTGTGTTGACATTTCTTTTATTTGCTTCTGTAGATATTTAAGATTGTTAATTTAACTTGTTTTTTTGGGGGAGTTTATGTTCAGTTCACTGAAAAATTATTGACACTATATTTTTTTTTCTGTAGAAATCAGTGAATTTCCATCAGAATGTTGTAGTGTGATGGCAGGAGGTACCCTGACTGGATGGCATGCTGATGTTGCTACTGTAATGTGGCGAAGAATGCTAGGCATTTTGGGAGATGTAAATTCAATCATGGATCCTGAAATACATGCTCAAGTTTTTGATTACCTCTGTGAACTTTGGCAGAATCTAGCTAAGGTAAAAAAAGAAATAGAGGATATAAGTGGAGAAGGAAAGAAAAATATTTAAAAATAGAAGAAGCCTTAGAGAATATTTGTGATATCCTCTCTGACTATAAACTGGTACCCACGGGTACCCAGCATGGTGAAGTCACTTAATTATAATTAAATATTAAGTGTAGAAACCGGATTGAACTTCAGATTAAGGTAAAGTAAACTGGAAGAGAGAACAGTTTTCATAGGTTTGTTGCTTTTTATTTGAAAATTACAGATTAGAGATAACCTCGGCATTTCAACTGATAACCTGACCTCCCCTTCTCCACCAGTTTTAATTCCTCCACTGAGAATTCTTACACCTTGGCTTTTTAAGGTAAGCTTAATATATATTAGTTTAAATTTTTCATTTAGTAAATCTTAAACATATTATAGAGATTTTGGCTGCTATATAGACTCCTAGAGCACTTATTTTTAACCAGTGTCCTTAGGAAGTCATTAGGCATCATATATAGCAAAGAGTGAGCATGCTAAAATTATTCAGGATATATTGCTTTTGTTTATTTACTAAAACAAAAGTGAATATAGAAAGATATGTCTGTACTGTATTTAAATGAAGTATAAACTTTGAGTTGTGTCACAGAATATGCTATGTATTAAAAGTTTTGGCCAAATGTGGTGGCTCATGCCTGTAATCCTGAACTTTGGGAGGCCGAGGTGCATGCATCACCTGAGGTCAGGAGTTTGAGACCAGCCTGGCCAACATGGTGAAACCCCATGTCTAACTAAAAATACAAAAATTTAGCTGGGCGTGGTGGTGGACGCCTATAATCCTGGCTACTCAAGGCTGAGGCAGGAGAGTCGCTTGAACCCTCCATCTCGGAGGTTGCAGTGAGCCAAGATGGCACCATTGCTCTCTAGCCTGCATGAAAAGAGCAAAACTTCATCCCCCCCAAAAAAAGTTTTAATTCTTTTTTGTTTGTTTTTTAAAAAACAGGGCATCATTCTGTCACCCAGTCTGGAGTTCAGTGGCACAATCACAGCTCACTGAAGCCTTGAACTCCTGGGCTAAAGCAGTTCTCCCACCTCAGCCTTCCGAGTAGCTGGAACTCCAACAGGCTGTGCCACCATGCCTGGCTAATTTTTAATTTTTTTGTAAAGACAGAGTCTCTCTATGTTGCCCAGGCTGGTCTCAAACTCCTGGCCTTAGACGATCCTCCTGCCTTGGCCTTCCAAAGTTCTGGGATTAAAAGTCAGTGTGCCAAGCCAAAAGATTTAATTATTTTAAGTATCGATATGTTTGGTACATTTTCCTAAGTGAAACAGTTTATGGTTATTTATACCTACATGGTATCATTTTGCATGATAATAATTTTAGTAATCCTGATTTTTTAGTTCATTAAAGAAATTGGGCCAGCGTAGAAATAAATGAGATTAAATACATTGTTTGCTATATTCAGTTACTTAAGTATTTAGCAAATAGTATTTCATTTTGAATATTAAAACTGATCTTTTAATTTTAGGCAACCATGTTGACTGATAAATATAAACAAGGTAAATTACATGCATATAAACTTATTTGTAATACAATGAAAAGAAGACAAGATGTTTCTCCAAATAGAGATTTTTTAACACATTTCTACAATATAATGCATTGTGGATTACTTCATATTGATCAGGTAACTATGTATATCATCTAAGAAGTAGTTTATGTTAGTTGATCTTTGATTCTTGATTCTGTTTAACTCTTAATTTGTAAGATCTAGAAGTAAAACTATTCCTCTTAGTGATTTATATACAGTTTACTTCAGTTTTATGACCTTATTTGTTCTTGAAACATGGTTGATAATCAAGCTATTATTGTAGGTAGAAGTTTCACTTGAGTAGTTCTCCATCTTTAATGTTGTACCAACCAGTTCACTTTTTGAAGCACTTAAACCATCCTTTGCTTAGGTTGACACCTTCCTTTAATGTTTTCATGTACTTACTCTTGGGAATTTTGTGACTGATACTTGAGGTACATATATGGATTCGTTCATCTAGTCATGCAACAGTCAGGTTATTTCCAATCTGAGATTCGGCATATCACATTTTCTTATTACTGTCAATTATATTGGCATAGTGACATTGATTTGATAATTATATTGAGTTATAATAATTAAATAGTCATAAATATAACCTTAGAATTACTTTGGGGGTTCTGATCTTGGCCATAAACTAAAAAATGTAGGATGTTACAAGTCAGAATAATGTAAATATGTTTATCCTAATATGATGAACTCATAGCTCATTTAGAGAGTATTAATATTAAAAGATAATTTTAAAATATCTCTCTGAAAAATGAAAAACTTCTTGCATTAATTTAGAATAAGTATAGTGTGCTACCTTATAAACATTTCTCAAGTATAAAATGACTCTTAGAGCTTTTGTTTATGATAATTTGTACTGAATAATAAAACTGAATACACTGTATCCTCACAGAAAATTCCATAGGCAAAGTAAATAAATAATCAAGTTAGGAACATTCCCTTAAAAGTGCCTATGTCTAGGTTTCTGAGGCTGGATACCTATCATTAAAGGAGTTCAGTTTATTTTAAAAAAAGATTCTTTCCGGTTGTCACGTAGCAGGTCATGTGGATTCAGAAATGAGAGTTATAGCACAGAATCAACTAGGTAACGGAGAAAACTGCTATGCAGTTGAGTTTACAATGTCTGGTCCTTATACTTTTAACCCTTTGAAGCAAAGAGCCTTCCTTAATCTCTAGTGTGAAAAAAATGCTGTTATTTATGCCGGTTAAGTGAATGTATTTTCAGTTTACTTTCCATTGATAGAATATAAGCATGGGTTATTTGGAAGAATTGAAATTATTTTTTTCCAATTAGTCAACGTACAGTAATTACCTTTTTTTATCATTTCATATATTACCTATTTTTAATGATACTGGTTAGCTGATATTCAAGATTACATATGTGATATTTGTTTTTTCTTCTTTCCTTATTCTAAGGATATTGTCAATACAATCATCAAGCATTGTTCACCTCAGTTTTTTTCACTTGGTTTGCCTGGTGCCACAATGCTTATTATGGATTTTATTGTAGCAGCTGGTAGAGTGGCTTCTTCAGCTTTTCTTAATGTAAGTCATTTCCTGTTCCTTATCATATAACAAACTTCAGTTAGCCAGGATTCAACTAACAAAGTTGGTAACATAACAAGCTGATATTCAGGAAATGTTGCAATTTAATTGGAATTGATTGCTTTTCTTGCATTAAAAAAAACTAAACAAGAAATTCTGAAATATAAAAAAGCAGTAAAATCTGATAAGCAAAACAGGATTTAAAGTTGAGGAAATCTAAAAAAACTGAGGGAAGAAAGCAAAGAAAGAGCAATGGGCTATAGCAAAAGAAGTAAGAAACAATGGTGAGTCATCGTTACACAGTGTATATGTGTATCAAATCATCATGTTTTATACCCTGAATATATTTTGTCTTCATTAACAATTATATATTTAAAAAAAAAAAGAAATATGATAAGGCACCCACCCTAGGAGGACATAGATCCTAGGAGTAAACTCTCAAACTGCATGTGAAGATTTTTTTCATACAGTCATGGAACTGTGAGACAATGCTAAACAAATCGGTATAAATGGAATATGTTCGTCTGTAAGTGGCAGGGGTGAGCTAGAGAGGAAGGCAATATAGCTTTGTTCATAATGCTGAAAAAGTTAGCTACAAGCCTAAGGAAGGAATGGGCAACCATTGAAGGATTTTAAACAAGGAGTGCCATGATCAAATTTATATTTTGGAAGGATCATTCTGGAACAAAGTGTAAATGAGAAATGATTAACTGGAAGTCTACTGGAAAAAACTAAGGGTATTTGTGAGAAAAACATAATTGTCTAATACTGTATAACTTGAAGAGCAGTTTAACATACCTTATTTCATTGATAAACTGCAACCATGAAACATCAATAGTGAATAGAAAGAGTTCTATTTGGGGCCTAGTAAGATGCATATTAGACATCCATGAGGAGATGTCAGAAGAATAATTGCATATACTCAAGAGACGTGTCAGGACTGAAAATTAAACCTGGGCAACATTGGCCAGGTACGGTGGCTCACACCTGTAATCCCAGCACTTTGGGAGGCCAAGGC